GAGGACCTTAACGTCTCATAGGCTGCAAGTAAAGTTTGGACAAGTAAAATCAAAATTCGGACAAGTAAAAATTGCTTCTTGTTGCCTTGTCCCATAGAGTTTGTACGCTCGCCGAAACTGGACGCTCCTAAATGCACATGCGCGCATGCTCTTTTGTTCGTCTCTTGTTTTCTTTTTGTTTGAATTTTGTTTTGCAGGGCCGTAGGAAATAGTTGCCAAACTCTTTTGTTTTCTTTTTGTTTCGCCTTGTAACCTGACACACATAACACAGTCTTACTAACTTACTACATTGCAAATTGTTTCAATCAAATGTTTCCATGAGTGACCGGGTTGGCCGCCATGGTTGTTTATTGCGAACGTTTTTGATGGGCGAGATGCGCCCTTGCAAAACAAGAGGCTCCTGCGCGCATGCGCACTTAGGAGCGTCCAGTTTCGGGCGAGCGTCCAAACTCTACGGTACAGCCCAACAGGACAACCAGGCCTGGCGTGATTGGTCAGATTGTCCCTCTTCCGGTTTTGATTGTGATGAATTCCGGTGGACACCCAAACAGCGTTTTCCCCGTTAATAAGATAACATGAAATATAGGCATAGCCTAATGGCGAGCGTCATTACATTATCTGACCTTTGCATGGAAATAGATGGATACATGTTTATATTTATTTCTATGGACTTAAATAATAAAAAGTGTTAAAACATAATATATAAACATACTATATTCCGGTGTTATGGGTTCAACTATATTCTACTGAAACAACTTTATTAACCAATATACTATTAAAGTGAATAAACAATTACTGTATCATTTGATACATTCATTGTAGGTGAATAATTAAACCATTTTATCACCATGTAAAATCTCTTTCTTACGCTTGCACGCCGCATTACTTTTAGAGCACAATTTGAAATTTAGGAGGACCATCTAATTTCAAACTAGATGGTCCTGTGGACCATCTCTTTGTTTCTCCTTATTTCTACCCCTGCAGGTGCATATTCCATTCAATGTCACCCCTATCACAGGCTTATCTGTAGGTTTTTATTGAAATTTTCATGACAATAAATACAAGTGGCACTGTTCTAGTTTATTCGTGTGCATTAAAAAAAATATAAATGCATATTGAAAACAGGATAAATTATTAGTCAAGGGACGGACGGTGCAATCACTGTAGTAAAGCAACAAGACTTTAAAACTCTTTTTAGAAGCAGGTTTTACGTCCCTGCGATTATGGCTAATCTTCCTTGATGATCCAGTGCAAACCGTGATCTACATTGTTGAAAGAATGTTTCTCTTTTTCCAGGAATCTTCACAATCCGAAGGACAGAAGTCTGATGAACGTCTGTAATATATACCGAAAATATCTGCCTGCAAATATATAACAGGTGTGTGTGTGTGCGTGCGTGCGTGCGTGCGTGCGTGCGTGTGTGTGTGTGCTGTCGTCAAAACCGTTGCTAATATTACATTATATTTTTATGCTGTTTAAAATCTGTCTTTTGTCCTTTTTATTGATGATGAAATTCGTGTTATCACAAACTATATATCACTATATATAACTATATATCGTGTAATGACAAATTATCACATTTAATAGAAAACGAAGGTGTAATTGATGTTTAAGTTACGATCATTTCTCGTTAAAGCTGCTGCTATAATGAATGCTATGCTTGAATTGAAGTGTGTAATAGTGTGACTTATACTTGACATATTATGACTTATATATTGACCTATATATTCAGGCATGAGAATTTTCCGCGGATTTGCGGATTTCAGTGTTTAGGTTTTCATTTGGATCATTCTTGATATTGATGCAAAAAAGTTTAGGGGGGGGGGAAGGTGTACTTTTTTGCCAAAATGGACGGCATTTTTAATTTAAACTTTATAAAGGTCAGGAAAAGTACGTCAAATTTCACACAAAAGTAACGGAACTCCAAATAAATATTGCGGTGTATCTATGTAATGTAAATGAAGGCATGTTAACCACCACATAAAACATACAACATAAAACACCTAATTGACAAGACTTTGAATTGTTCGTCACGAAATTGGTCTTTTACTAAGAACAGAATGGACTTAAAATTTTCCCCAGAATGCATGGAAATCGCCTATCTGCCATTCCAAATTTCAAACATTTCTTGGGGCGCTGGGGGGCGGTACCAGGTAGGCACGCCGACCACCATCGATGTTGCCCCCTTAATGATGGCCGTTTGATAAACTCGGCCGCATTCTTGTTGAAGTTAATGTGTTCGTAGCATTTTGAAATGCCTTCTGTCCACGTTAAATTATGTCTGCTCTTAAGTATGCAGCTAATGTCTTCTGGGTCCCTCACCGGCCGCCCTTGGGAATTTGCCTAACTAATGTAGCAAATTCCCCCTGTCTCTCTCTCTTAGCTAAAACACCGTACTACACATGCCCCCAGACCCCCCTAGCAGGACAGTGTGCTACGCACACTGTTATCGTTCCTGCGGCATGAATTGAAATATTTCCTCCAAAAACATCTCAACCTGTTCTCATGCCTGTATATTGACTTATATGCTTGACATAACCTGTATAACAGCATTCTGATACGTTCTATACCTCATGCAGACAGAAGTCTGCATACAGCATCAAATATGCTAGACACGCTGATTGCTATGATTAGTGATAACAATATGGTTCAGTTCCTCGTGCGAATGCACCAGCAGTTTCCCTGCAGTTTTACAATAATAAACACGAAATTTTACGCGGGAAAATTATGAATCTGCTTAATCTAAAACTACACTACAAGTACAACATCTCCCCAACACGAATAATCATGTAATTTCTTAGGTTGCTTTATCCCCCTATAGGTGGCGCTAACGTCACAATAACATTGCGAGTTGGTGTCTGTGCTGAAATGCGATCGAACGCAGTTAGCAATATTTCGCTGCTGCAGTGTCGTCCCGATCATCCCGTGTGACACTATCATGAGGAGACGGTTGACGGTCACCGAGTGCGAGCCGCAGGACGTCAGCAAACAGCCGCTAAGACGTCTAGAGGTGCCCTTGAACCGATTCACGAAAGTCGCAATACCCCTGCACTTGGAGATTTTGGAAAAACACAAAGCTAACATACACAGGGTGAGGTATTAAATCGCATGTAATTTGAATAAAACATGTTAATTAAGATGACGGAATGAATATATCGGATCAAGGATAGTTTGGGACCCCGCAAATGTGTTTTCGCATATATGTGCTAAACTAATCCGTGGTACTAAATAGTAAACTAGGGTTGGGCCAATATATCATTTAATTAAATAAATAGGCCGTGGCTACGCGACCGGTTCCGGACGAGGAGCCGCTAGGCTACGCGTTCGGACATCCATCTCACACAGTGAGCTTGCGACACGTGCACTCATGATTTCGGCAATGGACGGCTCTGCTGATTGCTGTGTGTGTGTGTGTCTGTGTTTGTCGTTGCGTGCGTTGCGTGCGTGGCGTGCCTGGGTGCGTGCGTGGTCTCGTCGTCTAGTCGTCGGCGTGAGAGACAGAAGAGAGAGAGACGAGAGGGCAATGGGAATGTGTATGTGTGTTGTATGGCGTGAGAGAGAGAGAGAGTGAGAAGAGAGCTGCGCGCGTGTGTATGTGTGTGAGAGCGAGATAGGATGGAACCGGTCGCCTAGCCACTTCGAAATAAATAAATGATGTAATAATTGAAATTTTTTATTTGATTGACTAACGTACTGTGTATAATCAGGACTGTCACGTGTAGCTATGCATATGGTGACGCGAGAAAAAGTCCACACGTATACAAACGTGAACGGATCAAGGATAGTTTGGGACCGAAATGTGTTTTCGCATATGTGCTAAACTCGGCTTGTGCCACGTGAACATATATGCCCTACACGAGGGTAAACATGTTGGCCCTAGTCTAGAAGACATGTCCAGACCTGCCAACCCCATCTGATGATCATCAGTAATAATGTATTGGATTTTTCCGTTAACAAATAGGCATTTGTCGTAAACCTTTTGTCATTCTTTATTACAGTATAATATATAACATATGTAGCATATAAGATGTTCATTTGGCAGTTCCACACATACAACCAAGCGTGCGCGCGCATTTTGATGCCTTTTGCATAAGAAGCAGTGCACTGCCGCAGCACCTATTTATTCTCTCAGGGTGATTGGCTGAAATAGCTTCAGTGCGGTGATGAACTATTCCTGGATCCGTGACGTCATTTCAAATATGGCTGCGCCCGATAAATCAGACAGACGAGCGCATAACACGCATAATTTACCAGTTTTTCAGTGGATGTACCGTTACGTTTTATAAGCTATTAGTTTTAAATCTACGACGACAGTAGTATGGTTACATGATAACTAGTTTGATTTTACACTGTGGTTTATTCTTTTGTTTGACATTAAAAAAATTAAATTTCAGAGATATTCTTGCTGTCCGTAAGTTTTCGAGGTCGTTCCGTAACACCGTAATTTTGGACTCGCGTCCGTAACAAATTCGGGCTAATACGCTAACAGTTGGCAGTCTGCATGTCCCACAATACTTCATGTGTACAATACAATTACACAATGGGTATGTCTTCTAGACTTTAGCTGCCAACTTGTTCATGGCACGACGACGAGTTGCACTCCATTCCCGACCACCGAATTGCGACGCATGCTCATCCGACCCCACGATCAATAAATAATGCGGCGGCGCGCTCTGATCGTTTTAGTTTGGCCGCAGTTGGCCAGTGGGATCAGGGTTACGGAACAGTGAACGCGCGGCAACGATGCAGAGCTGAAGTCGAATACTGGAGATCGACTTGTGAGGTGCAGGTCATGTAAGATGCGAGCCGCAACGCGTGTGTACAGGATATACCTCTATAGAAGAGCTGCCTGTGTGTAAAGGCGATCTGTCTCTCTGAGTGGTAGTTATACAGTTAAAAAAACACCTCTATTAAACAGTCACATGTGTATAAGAGCCATTTTAGGCATTTCCCTTGAGTCAGTTACCTACAGGGCTGACTGTAACTTTGATTCTGTGACACTTGAAGCGGGTTCAGTGGATTGTAAAGGGATGCCACTACATTTTTTTTCGTTTGTTTGTGTAGCATGCACAACCATAACTGACACAATCGTTAAATAAATATATTTGTTACACGTACAATCCATACTAAACACAATCCATAATAATATATTAAGTTACATGGTACAACAATGCTAGTTCGTAAATAATATCGGTACAATTTGGTCGTGATATCTCGTGCGAGCACATAGCATACATGCCATTTGCAATTCATATTAAATATAATAAATTGAAATTTTGTGAATTGAGAATTATATAATCGTGCATCCGTTGTCCAGTTCGCGTTTGCTAATCGACACGATCTTTCTGTTCCTCTGTCGAATCATCTGTTGTTGCCTATTGTACATCTCGTTCTCTAAGTGGGGCCCTCTATTATGTTCCATCGTCCTGCGCTCGTTTTCTAGCAACGACCTTCTGGGTTTGTTTGTGGGGTGGTGGGGGGGGGTTGTGGGTGTGGTTGTTCATATTTTTCATCTCTAAAGTTAAGTGATACATTTGAGTGTCTGTTGTTCACATCTAATATTTACTAATTTTTCGTCGCCCTTTCTTCTCCATGGCTCCCTCTTCATCCCGCTCCCTCCATTTTCCGGCACGCCCTTTAATCTACCATACTCACCTCTTCTTTCATGGGCACGAATGCACTTCACTTCCTCTCTGCTTTATTTCCTAGTATTTAGTTTGTATTGTTATTATTTGTATTTTTACTTTGATTTGTATTTTCTGTATTTGTTATTTTCAAACAATTTCATTTGTTTTTTATGCTTCACACAGGGACGAGATGTTGTGGAATTCGACAGAGCGTTTGGAGCACTCACCGATAACCTTTCCGAATCGAAAGCGTGGTAAACTTATCAGACTTGCGCATGGCGAATCGCGGATATGAGATACCTCCTGCCTGTCAGTTATAGGGCGACTTCTGCGAAGGTGCGTCGTCAGTCCTGTCTCTCTCGCGGAGTCGTCCTTACGTCGCTTTTGACTTTCGCTCGTTGTGCGAAAAAAATTGGTCTTAATCTTAACGTTAGGTCTTTACTATTAAGTTTTTCTTCGCTCCCTGTATTGAGAAACTTTAAGCTGTATCTTCCTCGTAGTCGTCCGTTATCTCGTTCGAAACTTAGCTCGTGTTTTGTTTGTTAGTCCGAGTGCGATTTATTACGTGTTCTCGGGTTTTTGTGTTGTTTTGTTTGAATACGGGGGTTCCTCCTTGTGACATCTAAGGCGTGACATGTGTTGGGATTGTTTGTTGTGCTTCAATTCTTTGATCTGGTGTTTGTTGTGTCGATGATCGATTTGGAAATATTTTTCTCTGGCTTGTTTTCGTAACAGAGGCGAAGGGAGAATGAGTCGCGAGCCAGTGAGCAGCTATGCTTCTCGATAAGCCGCGAGATATTCGCTGGAGGAGAAGCGACAGGTTGCTGCAGTCGTGGGAGGAACCTCATACAGGTTACGGTGTTACAAGGTGGGACAGGCGGTGTTCCAGTGTGGATAGGTACCGGTTATACAGGTGGCGACAGGTACGGTGTATACAGGTGGACAGGTACGGTGTATACAGTGGTACAGTACGCGTTGCTTACAACAAGGTGCCGGATAGGTACGGTTGTTACAGTGGGACAGGTACGCGTTTGTACTAAAGGTGGGACACGTCTACAGGTGGGATCGTAACAGGTGTATACACAGGTGGTGATTAGGTTACAGGTGCTATACAGGTTTTGGGATCAGTTACGGTGTTATACAGGGGGAGCAGCTGACGTGTTTGCAGGTGGGGAAGGTACGAGTGATACACAGTGGACAGTACGGTGTATGCAGGTGGGAAGGTACGGTGTTACAGGTGGGGACAGTACGTGTATGCGGTGCGCAGGTACGGTGTATCAGGTGGGACACGTGGATGTATAAGGGTGGGACAGGTCGGTGGTATAAGGTGCGCGACAGCGTCGAGTGTATACAGGGTGGGGACATGGTACGGTGTTATGAGGTGGGAAGTCGGTGTACAAACAGTTGGGACAAGTAATCGGTGTATGCAGTGGGGACAGAACAAAGGTGTAACACAGGTGGGACAGGTACGGTGTATGCAGGTGGGACAGGTATCAGTGTAAGCAGGTGCGGAAGGTCGGTGTATGCAGGTGCGGAGTAGGTAGCGGTGTATACAGGGCTCTGGCAGGTCACGGGTGTATACAGTGGTGGACATGTTACGGTGCATACAGGTGCGACAGGCTACGGTGTACACAGGTCGGGACAGGTACGGTGTATAAACAGGTGTACAGCGTACGTGTATGCAGGTGACAGGTTACGTGTACATCAGCTGAGGACAGGTACGTGTTACATGTGTGGCGACAAGGTACGAGTGTTTACGCAGGTCACAGGTCGGTGTTATAAATGTGGACATGGTGCTGCATCAATGGGAACGTCAGCACAGCGTACGGTCCATGCGTGGGGTGGGGTTGCCGCGAGCATGGCTTACACGCGCTCAAAATACTAGTACAGGTCTACGGCTATTCGTGCAGGTGGTGCGCGAGCGTTTACGTGCATCTACACGCTGAATAAATATAACGGATCATTTGGTGGCCAGAACCTACCTCATGACAGTGTAACGGTATGCCGCGTCAGGTGCAGCGAGCTATGCGAGCGAAATGATGTCCAAACGTTTATACGAAATGTTTACATTTCTGCTTGTCTGTATGTATATATTTTTATGTACTGTCTTGTCTGCTGGCCTTGGGACAGGACCTTGATGACCTTAAAACGCGATTGATGCGGATGTTACCTTGCGGCGGTGCGGCAGCAGGGATAGGGCCGTGGATCGATTAGAGGATCACTGTCTCTGTCGCAGAGAGGCCAACGTGGAGGAGGGCACGAGGATTCTCGCAGCGGTGAGTCACGCGCGCACGCGCACGCACGCATAGAGACACGCGAACGTGGAGGAGGGCACGAGGAATCTCGCAGCAGTGAGTCACGCGTGCACGCACGCACGCACACACGCACGATAGGACCGCGAGAAGTAGACCCTTAGTGCGGAAGATTGTCGACGAGATTGTGGCTCAACGTTACGTCCTGTTCACCTCCCCTCTCTCTTCCTCCCTCCTTCCTCCTCTCTCTTTTTCTCTCTCCCTCTCTAGCAGAGTCAGGGGCTGCAATAAATTTCCAACATAGCTTATCCATTCATATAAAAATTCCGCACAACAATCGCTCTAATCGTTTCTACTGTTGCAATTTCTCGACTCTTTTCGCAGGCGGCGAAGATGAAGATGATGCTGCTTCCCGTTGCCGGGGCCGTCGTCGGGGGCGTCATCGCCGGGCCGATCGGTCTCCTGACGGGCTTCAAGATTGCCGGCTTGGCGGCCGCCCTCAGCGGGTCCGTGTTCGGTGAGTGCGCATGGGCATGAGGTGGAAGGTGTCGAATGAGGTGAGGGGATGATGTAGTGTAACTCTTTTGTTACAACAAGACTCCCTACGAACATGAATACACCCGCCCCGTCTACCAGATTAATACTAAATCAATGGAGACCCGGAACACCCCTAACGTCTACGCTTCTAATCACAATGAAAACTAATTCCCAGAAACTGTCCTATAGCTGCTAAAATAACATCTGTGAAACACTTTACATTTAGTATCATTGGGTTAGGGGGGGGGGTGATGATGATGTAGGTATCATCATTGGAGGAATCTGGCAGAAAAGGTGGAAGGTGTCGAGAGAGGGGTGATGATGATGTAGCATCGTCAGGGGAATCAGAATCTGGGAGTAAGTGCCCAGGATTTTAAAATGTCGTTTTCCGTGAGTCATGAAAGTCGAGTGGGGGTCTCTCTTTTACTGCGTTCGATTTACTTCCCCAGAGCCACCTGGGTTAACCTGGGTAAGAAATCGAACGCTTCTGGGTTAGGGAAGATAAACGAACGGTTTTTGGGTTAACCCGGGTTAATTATCATGATGGATGCCAGTGACAAGAAAAAAAGAATAGCAATTGCAATCTTATTATTAATGAAATCTAAGAATGAGCAAACACACGCAGTCATCGACAGTCATGCTTCATTACTACTGCTACATTCATGCAATTCCCGCACTGATATATCATCGCCATTTCGTTGCAATGGATTGTCGGATACTTCCCCAAGTGAGCGGCTCGGCTAGCGGGTTACTTCGGCCTTGCTCGGGTAACACAAAAATATCACGTGACTGCAAGGTAGACCCAGGTTAACTTGGGGAATTAAATTGAACGCACTATTTGTATCTCTCTCTATCTCTCTCTCTGACTCTCCCTCCCCCCCCTCTCTCTCTCTCGCTCTCACTCTCCCTCCTCATCGCTCTCTCTCTATCTCTCTGACTCTCCCCCCCCTTCTCTCTCTCTCTCTGACTCTCTCTCACTCTCCCGCAGGCTACCAGGGAGGCAAGTACATCAAGCAGAAACACAAGGTCGGCATCGAGATGGCGGAGATTAGAACACGCTGCTCTTCCATGCCCCACCTCCACGAGGGGGCGCCACCCGCTGCCGCTGCGCCGCCAAAGACCCCACCAGGCGGCGACATGCGCGATGCGCCGATGAGCTTGTGACCGCGACCCCTGGTGGCGGCGCGTGAGGTCGACGCCGGCGCCCCCTATCCGGGGGTGCGAGTCGGGGCGGAGCGGCAAGCGTTGAGTGTGATGTACGTGCGCAAGGGTTGCTGTAGCGGGCAGATGGAACTTCGATCGACTCGAAACTGCAACTGCGGGCAGTAAACGTTTGACCACCGACGAAACTGCAACAGATACGTGACGCATGCTCGATAGGACGTGTTATTGTAAGGAGCAAAGCTTCTACCACCACCACGAAACTGCAACAGATAAGCGATGCATCTGCGCGCGCGAGAAAGTTTTTCTCTGGAGAGCAGGTGGAACCTTTGACCACCACGAAGCAGCAACTGGTACATGATGCAAGTGTACTGATGCAAGTGCACTATGGTGCGTTACTGTTCGGAGCAGATACGGTACATAGAACCTTCCACCAAGGCAAAAAATACACGGGAGCGATCAGCGATTCGCTCTTCAAACCTCCGAAATCATTCCCGTGAGGCTCAAAATAGCTCCAGTAAAATTTTTGACGAGAGCTATTTTTTCCACAGACTTGAAAAAGAGCTCCCGTGAAATTTTTTTCCCCCCTGCTTTCCACCACCACAAAACTGCAACATATATGGGATACACACGCGCTAGGACGTGTTATTGTAGGGAACAATCCTTCTACCACCACCACAAAACTGCGACAGATACGTGATACAAGCCCACTATGGTGTGTTACTGTACAGAGCAGATAGGACTTTCGACCCCTCGTGAAAATGCAACAGATATGTGATACAGACGCACTAGGACATTATCATGATTATCGAAAGCAAACCTTCTACCACCACCAGCACGAAACTGCGACAGATAAGCGATACGCACGTGCATGACGACACATCTTTGTTACCGCTGCTTCGCACGCTGGCGGCAGGGCAGGAGGCGGATTACGAATGCACGCCGGACGCGTCGCGCATCGTAACCAGACATACACCGGCGGCGGCGTGACGTGACGTGACGTGCTTCACCCCCCCCCCCCGTCTTCCCATCGCTACCAACGCCCCGCCGAAACGACGTCTCCAAGGAGGGATTGATCGGATGTTCCGCGGATGCATTGCCGGAAACGTTCGGACGAGCAAATCGCGACAAGAGAACGCCGCTTCTCGAACCGATGGCGGTTTAGTCGACGCGTCGTCGATTCACATCACCCATGCTGCTTACCGGCGCAGTTCTGGGAGCTCGTCTGCATTGGAACTTGGAACCGAAAAATACTCGTCCGCGTTCGAAAATGCGCCGGGGCATGTCGACGAAACTCGTGCCTATCGCTTTGAAAGAGAACGGCGGATCGCATGAACTCACCGAGATGCTCGGTTCTCGTCGCGGCGTTATAGCGCGCGCGGCTCGGTTAGAACGTTTCGCGATGTTTTAAACGATGCGACCGTCACGGCAACTACATCTGTTAGTTAGTTTCTCTTAGCATCTATCTCTGTACTCAGCGAGGCGATGAAAGCTTTGAAGTTTAGGTGGCAGCCAGCGGAAAATGATAACAATCATAATAATAATAATAATAATGATAATAATTAGTCGAATAATTAGCGTGACCGGCAACTTATATACTGCGATGAATAAATCGCGATTCGCTCTATGTTCCGATCAAATATATACTTGTGTTTTTCGCAGAAGCGGGAAGAACGGTTACAGCCCTATAGACCGAAGGTCCGATAGACCGAAGGTTATGTGTTCAAGGTGTAAAGCATGCAAAGATGCATTTTCGAATACGCAGTAAATTTCAGAGATTTCTTGCTGTCCGTAATTTTTCGAGGTCGTCCGTAACACCGTAATTTTGACTCGCGTCCGTAACAAATTACGGGCAATACGTAACAGTTGGCAGGTCTGCATGTCCCACAATACTTCATGTGTACAATACAATACACAATGGGTCATGTCTTCTAGACTAGCTCCAACTTGTTCATGGCACGAGCGAGAGTGCACTCCATTCCCGACCACCGACATTGCGACGCATGCTCATCCGCCCCCACGACAATCAAATAATGGCGGCGGCGCGCTCTGATCGTTTTAGTTTGCCGAGTTGCGCCAGTGGGACAGGGTTCACCGGGAACAAGTGAACGCCGCGCGAACGGTGCAGCAGCTGAAGTCAGACATACTGGAGATCGACTTGGTGAGGTGCCAGGTCAGGTAAGATGCGAGCCCGCCAACGCGTGTGTACAGTATACCTCTATAGAAAGGCTGCCTGTGTGTAAAGGCCGATTGTCTCTCTTGAGTGGTAGTTATACAGTAAAAACACCTCTATAGAACAGTCACATGTGTGTAAAGGCCACTTTTAGCATTTCCCTTGAGTAGTTACCTACAGGGCTGACTGTAAATTTGTTCGTGTGAACTATGGAAGCGGTTCAGCGTGGTGTAAAGGGGATGCTCACTATTTTGTTCGTTTGGTTTGTTACATGCACAACCCATAACTGACACAATCTATAATAATATATTTGTTACACGTACAATCCATAACTAACACAATCCATAATAATATATTAAGTTACATGGACAACAATGCTAGTTCGTAATGAATTCCGGTTAAAATTTGGTCGTGTATCCGTGCAGCACTACATACATGCCATTGCAATTCATATTAAATAAATAAATTGAAATTTTGATGAATTGAAATTAATATATATCAGTACATAACGTGTCCGTCATCGCGTTGCTAATCGACACGACTCTTTCTGTTCCATCTGTCGCATTTTGCACGAAGCCACTTCACCTCTCTCTGCTTTTTCCATAGTCATTTATTTGTATTTTCTTATTTGTATTTTACTTTATTTGTATTTTCTTATTTGTATTTTCAAAGCAATTTCATTTTATTTTTATGCTCACACAGGGACGAAGATGTTGTGGAATTCGACAGGCGTTTGGAGCCGATTAAAACACGCGCGATCGAAGCCGTCGTAGAATTGATCAGCTTGCAGCATGGCGATCGCGGATATGAGATACCCCGCCTGTCAGATAGCGCGCTCTGCGAAGGTGCGTCGTCAGTCCTGTCTCTCCCGGGAGTCGTCCTTCGTCTCTTCGAACTTTCGCTCGTTGTCAGAAACAAAATTGGTCTTAATCTTAACGTTAGTCTTAACATTAAATTTTCTTCGTAGACCCTGTATGAGAAACTTTACGCTGTATCTCCCCGGGTAGTCGTCCGTCTCCTCTTCGAACTTTAGCTCGTGTTTTGTTTGTTACGTCCGAGTGCGATTTTTCCGTGTCTCGGTTTTTGTTGTCGTTTGAAACGTGGGTTCTCTTGAATTGGGCGTGAATGTGTTGGGTGTTGTGTTTGGCTTCAAATTCTTTGAGGTGTTTGTTGTCAGATGATCCGATTGGAAATATTTTTCTCTGGGTTTTCTACACAGAGAGCGAAGCGGAGAATGAGTCGGCGGCCAGTGAGAGACTACAGCTTCTCGAAGCCGTCGAGATATCGCTGGAGGAGAAGCGACAGGTGCTGCAGTCGTGGGAGAACCTCAAACAGGTACGGTGTACACAGGTGGGACAGGTACGGTGTATACAGGTGGGACAGGTACGGTGTATACAGGTGGGACAGGTACGGTGTACACAGGTGGGACAGGTAACGGTGTATACAGTGGGACAAGGTACGGTGTATACAGGTGGGGACAGGTACGGTGTATACAGGTGGGCAGGTACGGTGTATACAGGTGGGACAGGTACCGGTGTATCACAGGTGGGACATCGGTGGGACAGGTACCGGTGTATACAGATGGACAGGTACGGTGTATACAGGTGGGACAGGTACGTGTATAACAGGGGGGACAGTTACGGTGTAAACAGGTGGGCACAGGTACGGTGTACACAGGTGGACAGGTACGGTGTATACAGGTGGGACAGGTACGCGTGTCATACAGGTGGGACAGGTAGGTGTATACAGGGGGACAGTACGGTGTATACACGGTGGACAGGTACGGTGTATACAGGTGGACAGGTACGGTGTATACAGGTGGGACAGTAGGTGTATACAGGTGGACAGTAGTGTATACAGGTGGGACAGGTACGGTGTACACAGGTGGGACAGGTACTGGTAACACAGGTGGGACAGGTACGTGTATACAGGTGGACGGTACGTGTATACAGGTGGGACAGGTACGGTGTATACAGGTGGGACAGGTACGGTGTATACAGGTGGGACAGGTACGGTGTATACAGGTGGGACAGGTACGGTGTATACAGGTGGGACAGGTACGTGTATACAGGTGGGACAGGTACGGTTTTTTGCGGGGGTAATACGTGTATGACAGGTACGGTGTATACAGTGGGACAGGTACGGTGTATACAGGTGGGACAGGTAGGGGGCGGTGACACAGGTGGACAGGTACGGTGTATACAGGTGGGACAGGTACGGTGTATACAGGTGGACAGGTACGGTGTACACAGGTGGGACAGGTACGGTGTATGCAGGTGGCACAGGTACGGTGTACACAGGTGGACAGGTACGGTGTATACAGGTGGGACAGGTACGGTGTATACAGGTGGGACAGGTACGGTGTATACAGGTGGGACAGGTACGGTGTATGCAGTGGGACAGGTACAGGTGTATACAGGTGGACAGTACGGTTACAAGGTGGGACAGGTACGGGTGGTATGCAGGTGGGACAGTACGGTGTATACAGGTGGGACAGGTACGGTATGCAGGTGGACAGGTACGGTGTTAACAGGTGGGACAGGTACGTGTTATGCAGGTGGGACAGGTACGGTGTATACAGGTGGACAGGTACGGTTTACAGTGGACAGGTACAGGTGTATACAGTGGGACAGGTACGGTGTACACAGGTGGACAGGTACGGTGTAATGCAGGTGGGACAGGTACGGTGTATACAGGTGGGACAGGTACGGTGTATGCAGGTGGGACAGGTAGCGGGTTAACACAGGTGGGACAGGTACGGGTATCAGGTGCAGGTAGGGAGGACAGGTACGGTGTATACAGGTGGGACAGGTACGGTGTATGCAGTGGACAGGACGGTGTATACAGGTGGGACAGGTACGGTGTATACAGGATGGTGACAGGTACGGTAACAGGTGGGACAGGTACGGTTATACAGGTGGACAGGTACGGTTGTATACAGGTGGGACAGGTACGTGTATACAGTGGGACAGGTACGGTGATCAAGGTGGGAGCACAGGTACGGTGTACACAGGTGGGACAGGTACGGTGTATACATGTGGGACAGGTGCTGCAGTCATGGGAGAACCTCAGACAGGTACGGATGCGTGGGGGTGGGTTGCACGCGAGCATGCTTCTACACGCGCAAAATACCTCAGACAGGTACGGATGCGTGCAGGTGGGGCGCGAGCGTACAGTGCATCTACACGCATGAAAAATTATAACGGACATTGGTGGCAGAACCTACCTCAGACAGGTAAGGATGCACGCAGGTGAGCCGAGCGCGAGCGAAAATGTCCAACGTTATACAGAAATGGTTACATTCTGCTTGTCTGCATGTATATATTTATCGTCTGCTTGTCTGCTCGTCCTTGACAGGACCTTGATGACCTAAACGCGATGATGGCGGAGTTATCTGCGGCGGTGCGGCAGCAGGGAGAGGCCGTGGATCGCATAGAGGATCACGTCTCTGTCGCAGATGCCAACGTGGAGGAGGGCACGAGGATTCTCGCAGCGGTGAGTCACGCGCGCACAGCGACGCACGCATAGAGACGCCAACGTGGAGGAGGGCACGAGGAATCTCGCAGCGGTGAGTCAACGGCGCAGACGCCGCACGCACCGCAGAGAACGCCAACGTGGAGGAGGCACGAGAATCTCGCAGCGGTGAGTCACGCGCAGCACGGCGCACGCACCATAGAGACGCCAAGTGGAGGAGGGCACGAGGAATCTCGCAGCGGTGAGTCACGCGCGCCACGACGCGACGCACCATAGAGACACGCCAACGGGAGAGAGGCACGACAGAATCTCGCAGCGGTGAGTCACGCGGCACGCACGCACGCACACACGCACGATAGACTGCGAGAAGTAGACCCTTAGTGCGGAAAGATGTCGACGAGATTGTGGCTCAACCTTACGTCCTGTTCACCTCCGCCTCTCTCTTCCTCCCTCCTTCCTCCTCTCTCTTTTTCCTCTCCCTCTTAGCAGAGTCAGGGGCTGCAATAAATTTCCAACATAGCTTATCCATTATATAAAAAAATTCCGCACAACAATCGCTCTAATCGTTTCTACTGTTCCAATTCTCGACTCTTTTCGCAGGCGGCGAAGATGAAGATGATGCGCTTCCGTTTGCCGGGGCCGTCGTCGGGGCGTCATCCCCGGCCCGATCGTCTCCTGACGGGCTCAAGATTGCCGCTTGGCGGCCGCCCTCAGCGGGTCCGTGTTCGGTGAGTCGCATGGCATGAGGTGGCAAAGGTCTGCGAATGAGGTGAGGGGATGATGTAGTGTAACTCTTTGTTACACAAGACTCCCTACGAACATGAATACACCCGCCCCGTCTACCAGATTAAACTAAAATCAATGGAGACCGGAACACCCCTAACATCTACGCTTCTAATCACAATGAAAACTAATCCCAGAAACTGTCATAAGCTCTAAAATAACATCTGTGAAACACTTTACATTTAGTATCATTGGTTGGGAGTGATGATGATGTAGGTATCATCATGAAGGAATCTGGCCAGAAAAGGTGGAAGTGTCGAGAGAGGGGTGATGATGATGTAGCATTGTCAGGGAATCTGAATCTGGGAGTAAGTGCCCAGGATTCTAAAATGTCGTTTTCCGTGATAATGAAAGTCGAGTGGGGGTCTCTCTTTTACTGCATTCGATTTGCTTCCCAAAGCCACCTGGGTAACCTGCGTAAGAAATCGAACGCATCTGGTTTAGGAAGATAAACGAACGATTTGTGGGTTAACCCGGGTTAATTATCATCATGGATGCCAGTGACAGAAAAAAAGAATAGCAATTGCATCTTATTATTAATGGAAATCAAAGAATGAGCAAACACACGCAGTCATCGACAGTCATGCTTCATTACATACTGCTAATTCATGCGATTCCCGCACTGAAATATCGTCGCCATTTCGTTGCAATGGATTGTCGATACTTCCCGCGAGTGAGCGGCTCGGCTAGCGGGTTACTTCGCCTTGCTCGGGAACACAAAATATCACGTGACTGCAAGGTAGACCCAGGTTAACTTGGGAATTAAATCGAACGCACTATTTGTATCTCTCTCTATCTCTCTCTCACTCTCCCTCCCCCCTCTCTCTCTATCCGCTCTCACTTCTCCCTGCCCCATCGCTCTCTCTATCTCTCTACTCGCTCCCCCCCCTTCTCTCTCTCTCTCTGACTCTCTCTCACTCTCGCAGGCTACCAGGGAGGCAAGTACAATCAAGCAGAAACACAAGGTCGGCATCGAGATGCGCAGATTAGAACACGCTGCTCTCCATGCCCCACCTCCACGAAGGGGCGCTACCCGCTGCCGGCTGCGCCGCAAGACCCCACCAGGCGGCGACAGGCACGACGCGCCGATGAGCTTTGTGACCGCGACCCCTGTGGCGGCGCGTAGGTCGACGCCGGCGCCGGCCCTATCCGGGGGTGGCGAGTCGGGGCGGACGCGGCAAGCGTGAGTGTGATGTACGTGCGCAAGGGTGGCTGTACGGCAGATGGAACTTCGATCGACTCGAAAACTGCAACTGCGGGCAGTAAACGTTTTGACCAACCGACGAAACTGCAACAGATACGTGACGCATGCTCGATAGGACGTGTTATTTGTAAGGAGGCAAAGCTTCTAACCACCGACCAGCTGAAACTGCAACAGATAAGCGAGCGCATCTTGCACGTCGCGCGAGAAAGTATAGAAATTTCTCTGGAGAGCAGGTGGAACCTTTGACCAACTCCACGAAGCAGCAATGACATGATCAAGTGTACTGATTGCATGCACTATGGTGCGTTATCTGTTCGGAGCAGATACGTACATAGAACCTTTCCACGCAAGCAAAAAATACACGGGAGGGCGATCAGCGATTCGCTCTTACAACCTCGCGAAATCATTCCCCGTGGGGCTTCAAATATAGCTCCAGTAAAATTTTTGACCGAGAGCATATTTTTCCACAGACTTGAAAAAGAGCTCCCGGAAATTTTTTTTCCCCGCCTGCTTTCCACCACCAAAAAACGCAACCATATATGGGATACACACGTGCTAGGAGCGTTGTTATTGTAAGGAACAATCCTTCTAAACCACCACCACAAAACTGCGCACAGATACGTGATTACAAGGCCACTATGGTGGTGTTACTGTAACAGAGCAGATAGGACTTTCGCACCTCCTCGTGAAAATCCAAGCAGATATGTTGATTACAGACGCACTAGGACATTACATCGATTATCGAAAGGCAAACTCTACCACAACCACACGAAACTGCGACAGATAAGCGATACGCACGTGCAATCGACGACACATCTTCGTACCGTCTGCTTCGCACGCCTGCGGCAGGGCAGGAAGCGATTACGAATGCACGCCCGGAGCGCGTCGCGCAAATCCGAACGCAGACATAATACACGCGGCGGCGGCGCTGACGTGACGTGAGTGGTTCACCACACAGCCCGCCCCTCGTCTTCCCATCGCATACCCAACAGCCGCGACGCGGCACGTTCTCCAAGAGCTTCTCGAACGATGGCGGTTTAGTCGACGCGTCGCGATTCACATAACCCATGCTGCTACCGGCGCAGTTCTGGAGCTCGTCCTGCATTGGAACTTGAACCTGAAAATACTCGTCCGCGTTCGAAAATGCGCCGGGGCATGTCGATCGAAACGTCGTCGCCTATCGCTTTGAAAGAGAACGGCGGATCGCATAACTCACCGAAGATGGCTCGGTTCTCGTCGGCGGCGTTATAGCGCGCAAGCGGCTCGGTTAGAAACGTTCGCGAGTTTTAAAGCGATGCGCGTCACGGCAACTAACATCTGTTAGTTAGTTCTCTAGGCATCTATCTCTGCTACTCAGCGAGGCCGATGAAAGCTTTGAAGTTAGTGGCAGCCAGCGGAAATGGATAACAACATAAAATAATAATAATAATGATAATACATAATAAATAATAATAATAATGAAGGAAATGTAGTCGAATATAGAAAGCTGACCGCAACTTATATACTGGCGAATGAATGCATCGCAGATTCGCTGCTATGTTTCCGACAAATATGATACGTTGTTTTTTTTCGGGCAGAAGCGGGAAGACGGTTTACAGCCCTATAGACCGAGGTCGGATAGACCGAAGGTTTAGTGTGTGTTCAAGGTGTAAAGCATGGCAAAGATGCAGTTTCGAAAATACGCAGTGGTACTCGTTCGCGGAATGCCGGACACCTAAGCCTCCAGCTACCGCATTCCCGACATCCCAGCTCACCAGTGATGTCACGCGAGCTCGCGTACAGCGGCATTTAGATTGCGCAATGACGGACAATCGCTCTCGATCGTCTGCTCTCTCTGCTTTCTCTCACCACACACAGCCTGCTAGCTCTGCTCTCTGCGTATCGTCTGCTCCACAACACAACACAACACACACAGCACACACAGCACACACACGCACACACACACCACACAGCACACACACGCTCTCTCCGTGCTCCTCCTCCACACACACATACACACGCACATGACCGCAAGGCGCCCTTCCCCCCGCTCGCTTGGTCCCCCGCCGCCCCCCGGGTAAGCGTCCCGCGGGGGCCACCGTGCGCGACGCCACGCCCGCCTGTGCCCGGACCACATGAGCGATGCAAGCAACACAAACACGCACAGGAGAAGCACGCGACGCCGCAACGCAGCAGCCACGCACACACACACAGCACACGCACCTACGTGGCATGTTCTGTAAGGCTCCCTGGTATGGCCGTGATGCATTAATGTTAAGACTCTATCTCGCCTCTCTATATTCGTTGTTTCGGACTGCTGCGTTTAGTAATTGTGATAAATATAGTCTTTCTTTGGGTGAGTCGGCTAGGTTCCATACTAAATCAGGTTGATTTAATATACAAGGTGGCATGGTAGATAACAGAGTCGGGCAGACATCATGTGGCAGAAAATGGGTGTTAAAGAATTATATGATGTAAAGAAGTTTTCGATTTCTTCGCTGATATACAATACTTTCAAATACTAACTGAAATGTGTGTGTGGTGTGTGTGTGTGTGTGCGTGCGTGCGTGGCGTGCGTGCGGCGTGTGTGTGTGTGTGCGAGTGCGTGTTTGTCACAAAATTAAGTTAAAGTATTTTACTATGATTTATGAAATGCGTTGTCATCGACCTCGCTCTATGAGGTTCCCTGTTCAATATTCGGGTCTATAGGATAGACCGCCGGGAAGGTAACAGGTGGGTGGTAGGAGGAGGGGAGGTGAGGAAGGGGCGGGGGGCGTGCAAATACGGGAGCCGCGGCGTGGTTGTGCGTGTTGTGTTCTCGAGCGTGCGTGTAGATATAGTTGTGGCCATCGCAGTGTGCAGATCATGCTGGTTTTGCAACATCGTTTACAACCTCTCCTCTGTCAGCGTGTGTTTTGTTGCTTTCTGTCTACTGTGATCTTTGTCGATTCTTAGGATGTTACTCCGTTGGGCAGTTGCAGAGTTGTGGACCCCGGTCCCTTTGTGGAAATACAACATTCGTCTCAACATTCTCGTTAACATTAAACTTTTCTCGTAGACCGGACCTGTGCACACTACGTATGAGGGCAACTCTACCGCGGTCACATCTCGCCTACCCAGCGGTCCGTTGTCGGAAACAAAATCCAGTCTAAACTAAAAAAAAGTTAACGTTAGTCTTAACATTGACTTTACATTCTCGGAGACTAGACCGCTATACAACTCGAATGAGGAACTCGTAACGTTGCGATGCTTCTGTCAATGGTCTATGACAGAAAGTTAATGTTAAGACTAATGCTGAGAGTAATCATGTTTCTGTAAGTGGGCTCCTGTGGTATTGCCCGTGATGCATTAATGTCTAACTCTACTCTCCTCTCTATACTCGTTGTTTGACCCTGCGTTTAGTGACCCTGCGTGATAATATAGTCTTTCTTTGTGTGATCGCTAGTTCCTACTAAATCAGGTTATTTAAGAACAAGGTGGCATTGTAATAACAGACAGGGCAGACAGTGGAGAAAATGGGTTGTAAGAATTTATGATGATGTAAAGAAGTTTTCATTTCTCGCTGATATACTAGTACTATATACTACTGAGTATTTCTGCTTCTGCTGCTGCTGCTGCTGTTGCTGCTGCTGCTACTACTGCTATTGTTGCTGCTGTTGCTACTGCTACTATTACTGCTACTTCTGATCAAAGAACCTGGGTAACCTTGTTCACGTTCTTTGCTAGTGATACTGCTTCGCCCCTTATTCCCTATACTAAACGCATGAATTACAATGATTTAATTTTGAATTTGAATTTGATTGAATCTTTCAATAAACATGTGGGTTCACACTGACGCTGCTGGTGCTTCTCCTTCCTACTACTACCAGCGGTTAGAAACAAAGGATAAATGCAGTTCATCCCGATTTGTTTTATACAGTAATTGTAATGCATGGCAGACCATGAAGAGTAGAGGACATGCAGGCACTTGGAGCGTTTCAATAAAATCTAATGCTAAATAAATACGATATCTATTTACTACCAAAGTTTTAATGTTTCTCTACTCGTGCGTGCGTGCGTGCGTGCGTGCGTGCGTGCGTGTGCGGCAGTGTGCGTGCGGTGTACATGTGTGTTGCAGAGGAGCATTTGCACGGCATTTACAGGAAATTGTCGGCAATAATAGGCGAAAGAGATTTCGTATTTATTTAGCATTATATTTTATTGAAACGCTCCAAGTGCCTGTGGTAGAGAGGGTGGGGCGGTGGTAAAGTAAGTCGATAAATAAGTATGGAATACTGTTTTCAGATATCGCTTTATTCATACTAGGACGACACGAAGATTAGCACTATAATCAAAAGAAATATAAGAAGAATGACGCGTTTTAAATCACTAAGGCAGCGTTCGTGTTGGGAGCTTGCTCTTGGTTCCGCATTTCAATATTTGCGTTGGACCGTGGTGTGTGCGACTGTTATAAAGTTTTATTACTACGTATAAAGCCGCTTTAACAAATTGTATAATTACTCGGTTGTAAAGTAATATTTTATTGCCGCGCTCCGAATCGTCAAAGTCGACAGCAAAAATTAATAGATAAAATGTGGTCTTTTAGTTGTTGTTTATTTTAATGTTTTTTTTTTCTGCGATAAAATGATTCAACGAAACACTCTAAAACACGGACGGCTGATAACACGTTAGGCATCCCACCAACCTTCCGGGAACGTTTTCCCCTAACGTTCCTGGAATTGTGTAGTTCAGTCACGTGAACAACGTTCCAGCAACGTTCCTGGAACGTGGTAGGAATGTCGTAGCACCTACCATAGATATAGAATGGTCCACAAGGCCGTACGCAGGAAATTTTCTGTAGGGGGGCAAAGGTACTCCCCATGCCCCCTGTGCTCTAAAGTTTCGCAATTTCACATTTCTTTATTTAAAGTGTAATATTTCTTTGATGATTTAAGATAACCTTTTGTCACATTTCTATTTTATTTCTAAAAGTGTACAGTATTTGTCCCATTTAAAAAGCATACTCTGAAAATCTCTAGGGGGGGGCAACTGCCCTTGCTGCCCCCCTGCTGCGTACGGCCCTAAGAATGGAAGAGTCTCTATTCTATATCTATATGGGTCTACAATAACGTTACAGTCGAAAACATTCTAGTAAAGTCGTGTAGGGACGTTGTCGTGCGCTAACTAACCTACGCAAAACCCATTGTATTTACGCTACTTGGAATGACCAGACCACCAAACCTGTTGGCGTTAAAGTAGTATACTATATGGCGTTAAGTGAGGGCACCAGTTGGAATGACCCGAGCTAGCTAAGCACACATGCCTCCCCTGACCGACCTCCACACGAGTGTCCACACGGAAACAGTCACCAACCTCGTGAAATGGAAATAAAGAAGTGCGGAAAGAAAGGAAAGGAAAGGAAAGGAAGTGCTTCTGGAAACGACTTCCGATCCAATCTGAACTTTTCGACCATTGGAGAAGCATACATCGCATCAGAAATCGGCAGTGAACACAGCTATGTACCTGCCCGCGTTCGCGTACACGGTAAATTAGAGGGAAAGACAGGTAAGAAAGACGTACAGAAAAAACTTGGACTCATATCGATGTTTTTTTACGCTGTAGCGTATTTAACTGCACGTAAAGCTGGGTTTATACCACCGACTTTGTGTTGGCGAATTGGCGAATTGGACCAACTTCCCAACTATACAACTGACAATCGACAGTGTAAACGCAAAAGTTGCGCGACCAACCGATCGATAGCAACTGGTTAAAAGTCGGTAGTGTAAACCCAGCTTAAAGGACAATTGTCTTTTAATGCAGCGTAATTTTAACGTATTTTAACTGAAAATATCAAAAGAATCTAGAGTAGCCTAATGTCAATCAATTTATAACAGTCTAGAAACTGTATCGTAACCATACACAGACAAAATCTGAGGGCAGCATGTCAATGCGGATTATCGCAGACGATAAGGTGATTTCGTCACTAGGTGTCGCATGCGGTCGCATCTCTAATTTAGTAGTGATTTACAATCTCGTTATAGACCCCCGCATACACACACGCACGCACACACACGCACGCACGCACACACACACACGCACGCACACACACACAGAACTAATTACCCATCACTCTCCACCCTCCTCTTCATTGCTTCATTGATTTCATTGATTGACTGATTGATTTCATTGATTGACTGATTGATTTCATTCATTGATTGCGCAGATGCTTCAACAAGAAGGACATGTTTCCGCCGGGAAACCCGATCCGCTGCCAGGTGAACGAGAAGATGCGGTCGGTGAACGTTGTGCAGTGCTGCACCGACACCGACTACTGCAACCGGGGGCTGCAGCCTGTGCTGTCGCCGCCCACGACCACGCAAGGTAGGTGTGGCAGCACGACCCCCAATAGCAGCCCAGGGGGACGATCCGGAATTGCGCCAGATTTCGAAAAAATCCATATCGAAATCGAAAATCATGAATTTTTGTTATTGTAACTGCGAACTGCAGCCCGTGCCACGAGCACGCGGATTAGGCGCGCGCCGCGACGGCTGGTCTGGAGGGGCAGACAGCCCAACGGATCGATGGGTGATGGACGCAAGGGCTGCCCCAATAGCCAGGGATTGCGTCCGAAATTTCATTATGTATACAAAAAATCGTCCCTCGGTCTGTAACGTGCAAAACATATTAGCAAATGCGCAACTTTTTCAGGGTGGCAGCACAATTGCGGGGTGTCATGTCAGCGGCCAAAAATAAAGATTTCGAAACTCCTGTTGTTTTATGATGAATGTAAATGCACGATTATAGAAATTTGTAGGTATATACTATTATTTATGCACTTAATTACTATCACAATACCATAAAATTCTAGAGTGTTGTAAATGCGATTACATTCCTGTTTCCTCGGAGGGAATCGCGCTCAAGCGGCAAACGTCGCAACCGCAGCCTGAGATAGGGAAGATAGTGAGGAAGAGAAGGTGGATATCGTAAAAGAGCCAGATGAGGGGGAGAAATATGAGGAGGAAGTGAAAAAAAGGAGGTGAAAAAAGACGAGGAGGAGAAGGAGAAGGTAGCGGAAAGATGAAGGAGCGCAAAGAGGATGATGAGGAGGTAGCAGAAATATATGTTAAGATGAGGTATAGTGTGTTTGTAATACTCTGCTGCTGCTTTTCCTACTCACGTGAGGTTGGTATGTACACACCTTCCCACCCTGTCTCCATCTCGCCCTCCTCCTTAGATATCTCTCTATACCGCCTCCCTAATCCAATTATCATATATTAAAGTTTTTCTTTACTTTTCCCTGCTCTGATGTCACCCCCTCTACCTCCTCCTTTTCTGCCACAATTTCTTTCTCTTTCACATCGTCTGTCTACTGTCACTACATACACTTCCTCCTAGTCTATGCCTCCTATTTTTGAATTATTTTAATTTATTACTTTTCTTTCGCCTACTCCCTTATCTTTTTAGCCTCCCATTATCCTACTCGCCACTTTCTTTATATGTCAATTTGTTCACGATATCCGTGAAATAGCTGAGCGTGTATAAAAGGGAAGAACTCGTGTGGGCGGTTTTCCTAGAATTCGAAGCGTACCACCTAAACTGAATTGTATCCCAGAGCATAATATAACGTTTTATTGCCTTCTCGCCAAACACCGCCGAGGGGAGTAGTTCATCTAATTTTAATGGGGGTAGCGGGATATTTGTCAAGTGCTTCTGGCTACGCATGTCAGTACTTGTATAATATTCTCTGCTCTGCTCTACTAGTAGTAATACATATTCTGTCTTTACTTTACTGCTTTGCCGTCACTGACAGAGCGCGATCGAAGCGCTCCGCATGTTACCTGGTGGCGGGCATCGAAAACATCAGTTGGGCGATTCGCGCTATCTCGCGAGAACATTGAAGATGACAACCATAATGTTTTTTGAGAAGATGAATATTTGACATAAAAATGTTTCCTAGTGCATTTTTCGTGTTAGTTTTAGTTTTGTCGACATGTAGCATAGCAACAGGTGAGTCATGAACGCGAGGATACCGAAGTTACTAACACAGCGGGTTAATTTTGATCGAATTTCGTAAATTTCAAGAGCAAACGTATTGTTTTCATCGTGCCCCTGGCCATCTTGCCTTGGATTGCATGTAAATTTTTATAAAGTAAAGGGTTATGCGCCATCATGTGTAGTTATTTTTTGCGTGCAGTAGTTACATTTGACGACTGTATTTCAGTCCGAGGTTATTTAGACCTGATCGTTCCTAGTTGAAAGCGCATATTTTGGTTCTGTCTGGAGCCTTCATTTTCACTATTTTTTTTAGTGAATTACTGTCCAGACGTTTGGCGTCTCATCTGTCTTCACGTGCAGTGACCTACCTCTAGTTAGGCTAATCCAACCTTACTACACTTACTAGGTTTACCACACTGACTGTGTTGGCCACCGTCTCGTTCTTGGCTAGTGCATAAAACGTATGGTTAAGTGGCTGCATTCTCAGGGGCAACGTACGGTTATATATATACGGGTGTCTAGAGTTATAGATGACCCGGACAGCCCTCTAAGTTAGTTCCTCGCTTGTTTCCTCCTAACCAAATACCGGCACATGCATCGCGCAGCGATACGACGGAATTTATTTGCGTGTCTTTTTTTCAGGACTGAAATGCTATTGTGATATCTGTCTGGAAAACAATAGAACATGCGAGACGGACGGCGTGTGCTTTGCGGCGGTGGTGCGAAACGTCGACAATGACATCAGTTACTCATACAGGTAAGGTTAGTGATCGATGGAAGTATGTTGTAGACAACAGACAAGAATGGAGAAGTAGTTGTGTATAGTACTTGTGAATGCTACAACAAAGAGAATCAAAGAGTGTGAAAGAAATGGCGAAAGGAGAAGATTAGAGAAGTTGAACAAAAGATGATCTATGAACTTTATATTGATAGATATTTGTACTACATTTATTATTCTGTGTACATAATGCCCGTTTCGGGTCTTTTCTAGGCGTATTATTATTATTATTAGTGGTGTTCCGATTAATCGAGTTTGTCGATCATTACTTGTTTGGGCTGATTAGATTAATCGAGTAGAAAATCGGACGACCGAGTACAACTCAAACTTTTTTTTTTGTGGATTGAATTTGATGAGCAGTTATGTTGCAATGCCCTTTAGAGTGTTAGTGTTACCCGTCCGTAACCCTAACAGTATCCTTAATTTACTTACCATTAAATACTAGCTACACATACAATAATGTCAATATTCCTTCGCAATACACCGGTTGTGTCGACGACGACGCGTCGTCGCCGCAATCTAAAATGATCGATGATTAATCGATCATCGGTCGTTTTGCAAAACCGATGATCGATTATGAAATTTGGACCGATCTCCAACACTAATTGTTATTATTATTGTTTATGGTTAGTGGATGTCTCAACTGTTTACGGAATTTAGTCGTGAGCCAGAAATGCAGACGAGACGAGAACAGAATGCAGACCTGTGTACATAAGCTGGAGGCTTACTACTATCGCGAAACGTGATGAGTAAATAAACCACAGTGACTATTTTACCACATTTTATCGATGAGTAATCGTCTCTCGTTACGTTTCACTGGTAGTGGTGTATGTACTAACAAATTCATTTCCTACGTCGTAACGAGTAACGAGTAACGTACTTGTGCCTTTTTCATGTAATTCGGTGTAAAGACACAATGTTTTAATTGGCACTTGACAAAGTACGGGCAGTAACTGTAGTTCTTTGTGTTTGGATAACAAATAACTTTGAAGGATGAAACTTTGGCTCAAATATTAATATTGTCTTACATGGTGAAAATCTTGTTCTGGCAAATAAATTAAAAAACATTAATACATTACCACACATTCCTGTATACAATGATGGCAAATATGCAGCAGGAAAACAAAGAGGAGACATTTCTTGCTGAGTCTTGCTTGTAGCGTCTGTGTGTGTGTGCATGTGTGCCTGTGTGCGTGCGTGCGTGCGTGCAGGCATGCGTGTGCGTGTTACCTATCACGTGTGTGTTTAAATGCAAAAAATATGAAAACATGTATACGAGGTAGGACTGTCATCGATACCCACCTCATCGATGAATCGAGAAGGATTTGCGTTCGATATCGATATCGAAATAAAATGAAAAATAGCGATCCGATACACAACCTGTAGGCTAGCCAGGCCTGCACAATACCCGGAAACGTACATGTCTAGATGCATTGTCTCGCTTGCTTGATACAATCAAGAGCTCATAATAGAGAAGAGTATGACACCGTTTTAACAGCGTTTTGCATAGTTTTCAACTTGTAAATATTCTATCAATATGTGAATAAATCTATTCAAACTTTACCTTGTTTTCGTCTATGATTCCAGGGTTCTCCAAGCTTTTTCATTATAGCATGGGGGTGCTGCCTTTATGGTCCTAGTTGCAAATCGCCGAAGGCGGTTTGCGTGCTAGGGGGGGTCCGGGGGATTAGGGGTGTCCGGCCCCCCCGGAAAATTTTTGAATTGTAGAAGCTCTGAGATGCAATCTGGGACACTCTAAACTCATATCACTTCAAAGTTTATTCCGAATCAAACAACGTGTATTAATTGTTTGAACTTCTTTGTATACACCAGCAGCCATGGCGGCTATGAATATTTAGAGTGGCGGGTGCATTTTAGATGGCGGGGCTCGACGATAGCCTGGCGGGCCACCAGGCTATAAGTGCTCTTGAGAAGCCTGGATTCTCCTTAATCATATGACACCACCAATTTACCTGAAAATCGTATGTGTTCTTCAAAAAAGTTCTTTGAATACGACACGGTTTCACACAGTTTTCCCAAACGTTTGCATGTATTCGACACATGTTGATATGAGCAGGGATGAGAATCTTTCGCGGATCCGCGGAAATCCGGGGATTTTACAGTCCCAGGGTCGATTTTGTGAAACGTCTAAATCTGTTGAGAGAAAATTTTAGGGGGGGTTAGAATGTACAAATGTTCAGTTTACAAATTACAGTCCAACAGTACCTTTATTTAATAACATTGTAATATAGTTCGCTTTACAATATAGACACGGCTTAGTTCACTGTTTGAGATTGTCAGACGTTGGCCAGTATATAGTTTGCGATCGATCGAAAAATTTCGCTAGCCGGCCCAGGCTCTGCGACTGTTTCACGTGGTAGGAAACGTAGGTACGAACTGTTTCCCTTCTCGCCAACGAAGTTCTGTTTATAATACATATATATATACATAACCATAAAAGGTGGTGTCGTGAGCTGCCTTTTTCGGTGACCTTTGAAAACGATAAAAAAATTAATGTCGCGCGATCGCGCCCTAGCTCCTAGGGTGTTAGGAATATTATATCGTGTGCACAAGGGAGGATTTTTGGGCAACCTTTGGCGTAGCAAAT